AATATTAAAAAGTAATGGTGAAAGAATGCAACCCTGCCGGATACCTCTTTTTATCTGTACTTCATCAGATATTTGTTGGTCTACCTTGATTTGCGCAGTCTGATTCCAGTAGAGATTTGCAATTATCTTGAGTTCTCTATCATCTAGTCCTACATCCTTGAGAATTTTTTGGTAAACTTCTCATGTTGTACCCTGTCAAACGCTTTCTCATAGTTTACGAAGCATGCATATACAGAAACAGAAACATCTCTAGATCTTCGATCTAGCACTTGGATGCTAAACAAGCCCTGTTTAGCATCCAAGTTTTGTGCCAAAACCGTTACGAAAACTAAATTGGGATTTGCCCGTGAAGGATTCACACTTTGCGTATATTCTTTTATGGGTGAACTTTAGAAAAATCTTGATAAAGTGGCTCATCAAGCCAACAAGCTGATAATCGCTACATCTTTTTGCAGAGCTTTTCCACGGAAGCGTCACAAATGTTGATATAAGCCAGTCAGAGGGAACGATCGCCGATCGGTGAAGCATACTGAAAAGTTTCACCGTGGGGGGAAAAGACTCTTCATTTGTAAGGATTTTATTAAGTTCTGAGTAGACACCGTCTGAAGCGGCAGGTTCCCGTTTTTGTATAACTGAATGTCGTGTTGGACTTCTTCCTTAGTTATATCTAGTCCTTCTTGTGAATACTCTTAAGGAATTTTCGATCTCCCGTCCTAAAACAGGCTTTCGATGTAACTGCACCACTGTTTTACTTTGTCGTTGACATCAAGAATGAGCTTACCTTGACTGTCCAACAGAATGCTGGTCTGTTGAGGTTTGTATACACCAGCAGCTTCTTTAATTTTCTTATGCATATTAAAACTGTTAAATTTTGCCCCGAGGTCTTCGATTTCCTCACACCGTTTGTTTAGCCAATTTTCTTCAGCTACCCTGATTTTGTTTTTTATTTCAAGATTCAACTGACCATATGCTTGCTGAGTCTCTTTGCAGGCATCTTTCTTCCTTTAAGTCGAGAATTTCATCAGTCATCCAGCTTTTTTTTTCCTGACCCTAGTGTTGAAGGAAATTCCGAGCTGACGCTAACAAAGCTTCCCTGATACCGATCCATACAGTCTCCACTTCTTGATTCTCTGCCCAGTTTCTTACGTTCAGTTTATTATCTAATTCGTTTCTAACTTCAGCCAGAGTTGTTGAGTTGTTTAGTATTGTCCATGGGCGCCGGCAGCAGGGTGCACTTGCACCCCCTGTCAGAAATACATTGAAAAAATTATTATTATTTTATTATTATTATTTTTTTAATAGTTACTGTTTGAAAAAATTGGCGAAACGAGAAACGATGGCCCCCTCGGACTCTTTGTTCCCCGCGACATTCCTCGGCTCACTTCCGGCTCGGATCGGTTTATTTTATTTTTATTTCGCGCCATCAACCTGTACAATGGCGGGAATTTCGAATCTACTCAAATTCTAGTTTAATTATATAAATTTCATTAACTTCTACAAATTGATGGGGGCCTTATTCTGTAAAGAACAAACCGTTCGATTCGGTAGAATTTCTTCGATTGTGACGTCATTTTCGGTTTGCTAGCGCGGAAGCTATTCCGAAAATGCCGAAAATGACGTCACAATCGAAGAAATTCTACCGAATCGAACGGTTCGTTCTTTACAGAATAAGGCCCCAGGGGCGGACATATCACCGGGCAGATCGGTGCGCCGCCCAGCCCAGGCCCACGGTCCAAAAGGGCCCCACGATGCTGGGGAAAATTTCGAATATATAGGAAAAAATTTCATACATGCAAAACAAATATAATAACATTTTAATTAAGCTACATTCAATAAGGACTCAATTCCTATCTTCTAAAATAGCATTTACCATACCGCCCATGCCTAATAATATTCGTTTCTGTGGTTGAGAGGATCTGGCAACGCTGAGCGTGCTTCCGAAATATTCCGAATATAACCATAATTTCGAGAAACACAGACCGACCCAACCGTCCATATATTATGATTTGATTACCACCATTTCCAGGCCGCATTTTTATTTTCCTACTTTTTACGTGACACTCAAGGGCAGTTGTATTTTTACGTACAAAAAAAAAATTGACATCATAGCGTGGCACCCTGACACGTCAATTTTTTATTTAGATTTTTAGACACAAGCCACAACCTTTGTAGGGTCCCCCCATTCCCTATAATCATCTTTTCTGGGTGCGCCACTGCTCAAGGGATAGGTTAGGCCTAGGGGCCCCAAAATATATTTAGCCCTGAGGGCCACTCGTCCCTAGATCCGTGGCCAGTGCCACTTTCCACCGAGGTGAAAACATCATATAATTTACTTAATCACCTAGAAAAATTATTTTTTTGAAACCTCCCCGTTTTTGGGCGTGGTACCCTGAAAAATTTTCGCGCCTTCGGCAGCTCCTGCGTCGGGCATTCACCTTTTCAAATTAGTAATTTGAACCAATATAACAATTCACGCGCCGCCACTGACCGTATGCACCTCCCTGAAACTAATCCTGGCGGCGCCCATGGTATTGTCAGATCCAGTCTCGGGCTGTTGGTTTTATTTTTAGTGTCAACTGGATGTTTGCTTCAAGAGGAATTGTGATCCGAATTTATATCTGCGCCAGGTCAAGTCTTTGCAGATTTGATGCAATATCATTGGAACCAGCAAAATCAGCAATGAGTAACTTTCATATGGGGTGTCCTATTAAAAAAAATCGGACCCGACATCTCGAAATCGGGGCCAAATAGAAAAACACTGAGAATATTACAGTGCAAAAAGCGCTTTTAGAAAGTTTTTACGGAAATCAATTATTTTCATAAAAAAGCTATGAAGCTTTTCCTATTAATAGAGTCCAAATTGGACCACCCTGTACATGCTAGAAATTAAAATATCATTTTTTAAGGAGTACCTATATACTGTTCCTATTTTATCAACTAAAGTTAAATTACGATATTTTACTAGGAGATATATATTTGATATAGATAGATAGATAGATAGATATATATTATTTGACCTAATTTTTCAGTACCACCCTGTATCGCTACGAGGTCGGTGCAATGAAAAAAATGCTTATTTCTACTTCTTAAATAATATACTTAAGTTTCAACAAAATCTGTCGGTGACCGAATTCGATAAGAAGTGTGAGATGTTCTTTTGAGAATTTTTAGAGGGCTTGGACTCTGTAACGGTTAGAGATCGTTATACCTATCGCTATGGCACTTGCTATCTTCTTCTATCTTTTCGAAATCAATAGAGAGGGTCGATAGCCCAGCTCAGAAGACTGAGAATCAGAGAGGAAGGTGGATCCCTGAAGTTAACATCAATATGGGACGATCAGTACATAATAAATAAATAAATGAATAAATGAATAAATGAATAAATGAATAAATGAATAAATGAATAAATGAATAAATGAATAAATAAATAAATAAATAAATAAATAAATAAATAAATAAGTAAATAAATAAATAGATAAATAAATAAATAAACAAGTAAATTAATTAATTAATAAATGAATGAATAAGGGAAATTTCCAACTGGTAAAAACCCACTTACAAGAAATTCACTAAAAATAAAAAGTAAAAAAGAAAAACAAATACAAAGTAAAATCTAACCTAAAGCAGGCTTACACTAGCCTCAAGCATGAACGATGATATTTTAAAGATTATCAATTATTGATAGTCACTATTGAATTTATCATATAATCGATTGAATCGGCATTTAGTACATCATTATAAAGGGACTCAACGCAGGGACGGCTTAAGACTTCTTGAGGCCCTGGGCCTATATGTAGAAGGAGGCTCCTTACCAACGGAGGGGGGAGGGGTGCTCCAGGGAATACGACATGAATACTTCTGAAATGTAATGTACATTGTGGAAAGAAAATAACAATTTTTTTTTCCATAAAATTTATTTTAAATTAGGCGTCGACTTAGCGATGAGGCCTCCTTGGCATCGGAGGCCCTGGGCCCGGGCCCAGCGGGCCCATGTCTTAAAACGGCCCTGACTCAACGACGTGGTGTATCGAATCTAACATAGCCCCAAAGGTAAGCTGGAGATGAAGCAGCTTGACACGTTGAATGCTTATCACAAGAATAAAATGGTCAGATCGAGCGAGAGGCAGTCTTACAAAATTTCATTTTGTGAAAATATCGACGTCAATGTGAACATTTTAAGGATTTCTGCTGGTTTGATTGGTTTTGTATATGTATAAAGCGAAAAGAATCGTCGTTAAAGTTAAGGAGAAGTGCTAAGTGATTAAGGAGTTTGTGAATTAGTTCTAAACGTTGCTGTTTTTAGTAAAGGAGTTTTAATTGACCCATGGAATTTGTTACACTCGTTACAGTATTCATTGAAATTTTTCAATACAATAATTGATGCACTTGCCGTGTCATATTATTCTATTATATGCACATAAATTGATATGAATAATGTCCTCTTGCTCTTCAAATAGATATAATAGCCAAATTATGAAGTATTTCAGAACTTTAAATATTTTAATTCGAAACAATTAATCTGAGATTCGGACGGATTGAATTTTCAATACAAAGTATTTGATTCCAAAAAGTTTTATTATATATGTACATGTGCTCTGGCCTGACCTGACAATCATTAAACATAGAAATTAATATTACTCATAAACCTTGAAGTCACATAAAAATTGATTCCGAAGAGATAATCAAATTAATAAATTTATGTAGATCCTGTGGTTCTCTTGACTATATTTAGATAAAAATCGCAATGTGTAATCGATCCATCTTGATCTTAATTCCACTTATTTACGCCCTTACGCAATCCGCAAAGCAAGGTCTAAATAAATCTTAGCTAAATGAAGATTTAACAGCCAGACGATTCCAAAACTATCACACTACTCTGTTCCCTTTCTTCAACTCTTACTTTTTGGTCAGACAGTATTTAGATCACGATGATGGCAATTAAGACATTTTCGCAACCAACAAGATATGTCGAGCATGACATAGGCCATGATCGGTGGTAGGTACCATTCTTCTTCTTCTTCTTCTTCAGCATATACGGTTTGGGGGTTTTGTCTTTCTTCAAGTTCTTCGGCGGGTGGTTTAATATCAGTCGATCGCCGACTGACACAGTTTACGGTTTGATTTTTTTTTTAATCGACGGTACACGGTCGAATTACGCGGTAGTTTATTGATTCAGTAAGTCGTTTTTTTTTTTTCGGTCGCGTTTTATTGACTATTAAAGTGAGTTCAAGAAGTATCGGGATGATGTTTTGGAGGTAGGAGAATTTTTGAATTAGTATTAAGTTTCATCAGAAGAAAATGCAGGTTTTATATAGCTTTTTTGGAACACCTAATCAGTCAAATTAACAAGTCGTTGATTTACTAAGCAATTAAGTTACCGCTTATATATTTTATAAACATTCAATTTGCTGAGGTTAAGCATATAGAAGGTCATGATAAGTTTGTTATTCTTTTTATTGCTTTAAAGTTTCATTCATTAGTTTCGAATCATTATTTTGAATAGTTTTCTGCTAATTTATTTTCACTATTTTAGAAAAACGTATTACAATCGTCTCTAATAGGTAGATTATGAATATTAAACATTCATATACAGAAACAGTAAAAGTGAAAATTAAAAGTTACTTATATTTGGAAGCAAAAATGGAAGCTAGGAAGCGAAATAAAATAATAAAACTAAAAATGCAACTATAGGATGTTATGCTCTGAACAAACAATTTATAAATAAGAAAGAACCATAGAAAATATATGCCTATAGCAGCTTCGTAGCCAGCTTCGCGGGCGGGTGGGGCAAACATATAAGGGGGCGCATAATTTTCAAAAATACATATAAAAAATATATAAATTAAATTTATATTCGAGGCAATTTAATTAGATAAATAAGGTGTTTGGTTTTTGTCAAGGGATCGATAATCTTTTCTTTTTTTTTTGGGGAGGAGGGGGTAAAAAATGAATAGGATAATTTGCGAACCTCTTGTAATATTTGCTCATTGGGGGAAAATATTATAGAAAAAAAGTCTGCCGGAGGCGAAAAATTTTTCTCGGGTGCCACGCCCAAAAAAATTTAGACGTCTCCGGACGTCTTGAAAATTGGAAAAAATCCGAGGAAATCCGGACCAATGACAGCCTAGTTTAACACGTTCACTGTCCTATCACCCAAATATGGGACATCAGTTTTTTTATATGGATATAAAGAAATTGAAATTTATAATAATTGTTTTACAATTTTATTTTTCAGAAATTATCAGTGAAGTGGCAGAAAAAATCGGCGGTATACCTTACTACGGTATTTTTATTTTATCCACATCAAAACAGAAATTATTACCTTCTTTTGATTGAAATGAACATTATTGCCGACAATGAAGAAGAATAAAGGGTGAAGAGATCAATAAAATAAATAGGAAACAGCAAAATTTTATGATTTCTTAATATTTGCTTTTGTTTTTCCTCTCTTTTTAAGAGCGGTAGGGGCGCCATACATGCAGGGACGGGGGGGCCGTCGCCCCCCCTGCCCCCCTACTGGCTACGCCACTGGCCTATAGTATATATTTTCTAATATAGAATATAATTATTTAAATTGAATTATTTAAATCCATTCAAAACAGGATAAATAACATTTGAATGTGTTACTTGAGAACGCCAGGAATGTGAACCACAAAATAAAGAAATGATGGGACAGGAAACTACCTTATTTTGTTTCTGTCTTTGTAGTTTGCTTTCCTCTTCGGTAATTGGAATTGAGCGGGAGAAATATTGTATAGAAATAAGAGAGAGTCTATAAACAAAGGCAAACATTTATTTAAAAAAAATAACTTGGATGGTTACATAAATACCGAGGAAAAAAGGATCATCAAAAAAAAGTACGATATGTACGAACTTTTCTCCGTTTTCCCAATCGCCAGAATCAACTATAATTGAGAAAGAGACCAATAATTGTATGGTGCTTTGGCATATAAATATATTGGTTATATAAAATGTGCACATAAACAAGCTATGAAGATGTGAGTGTAAGATTGGATTGTACCGGGCTTATTAAAGAAAGCTTTCATGTTCATTAATACATGTATTTAATAATATCGTGATGTATTCAGTAATTTTGTTACTTTATCTTTTGGATTTGAAGTTTTATCAGTCTTCGATCTTCGATCTTATTTCAAACCATTGTTTAATTTCGAAATGTATACCGTGATCATTTATTTTGAATTGAGCAGTGGAGCTAATTGGATGTTTTCTATGTCCCAAAGGGTGTGTTTTTTTAAAAATTCATTTCATTGTATGTACAGAAGTCTGCTAAAATTACTATGAGCAAATATTTTGTATATTTCTCGTCTCTTTCATTGTTAGAATATCTTCTCTTTGATTTTCTTTTGCTTCGGCCCATTCATCTTTATTTCGAAAACAAATATTGATAAGCATACTCTGGTCTTGCTTCTAATATCTAATTCTTCAATTTTCACTCGTTGAGATTCCGTGCTGGTATTTTTGTTTCAAAACCAACTCCTATATTTGGTATTGAGTTTCTCTGAATTCCACTATAGGTATATTATGTAGATAAGTTACATTATACAGGGTGTCCCACGGTGGATGGCGTATTAAACGTTTATAGAGAACTAAAAAGAGGATCATTTTGAAAATTTGGCAACCGGGATAAACGACCATAATCTACACTTTAAAAATATTTTTGTTTATGCGGTGTTGCCGCTTCCACTCTAAACCAGTGGCAACATCGCTATTTTAAATGAAACACCCTGTATGTGATTGCATATTTGGATTCTACGTAAAATTCTGAGCAGATTTTATGTGATATATCCTATACCTAAGTTCAACTCTTTTGGAAATATTGACAGTTGAAAATTGACTTTCTGCAACTTTGACAGGCTGTAAAACCTAAACGGTTAATTTCAGAGGAAAACCAATCTTACATTCCTGTCTTAGATTTTCGTAAACTATCATTTGACACCAACTTTGAATTTAACCGGAGATTAAATTTAATTGGAATTTTTAATCATGGATTAAATTCAAAATTGGTGTCAAATGATAGTTTATAAAAATCTAAGATAGGAATGTAAAATCGGTTTTTCTCTAAAATTAACCGTTCAGGTTTTACAGCCTGTCAAAGTTGCAAAAAGTCAATTTTCAACTGTCAATATTTCCAAAACAGTTGAACTTGGGTATAGGGTATATCACATGAAATCTGCTCAGAATTTTATGTAGAAGCCAAATATGCAATTAAATACGGGGTGTTTCATTTAAAATAGCGATGTTGCCACTGGTTTAGAGTAGAAGCGGCAATACCGCATGAACAAAAATATTTTTAAAGTGTAGATCACGGTCATTTATTCCGGTTGCCAAATTTTCAAAATGATCCGCTTTTTAGTTCTCCATAAACGTCTAATACGCCATCCACCGTGGGACACCCTGTATAACTTTTACTCATTTTCATCCATCGTTTTTGTTTCAACTATTTTCAATATCAGTTTCTTTCCTCCCACTTTCCCTTTCAATTTTTTCATATTTTCCTTGTACGTACCCCAATAGTTGTAGGTACCTACTCATTATATTCGACAGTTTAATTCCTAAATGGATATTGGCGTTTCGAGGATAAATGAGTTTAAGTTTCCACCACTTATTATATTAGTTGTAAGCTTCCAAAACAAAGAATAAGAAGAATACAGAAAACGAACAAATCTAGAGCCAAGCAGATTAAAGTTCTTGCTGTTTCAAGTCCTACATTCTTATGTATAAATTCATATAATATAAGAGCCCTGGCATGTTTCAGGAAACATGTCGTGCATTATGCTCCACTGAACACATCTAGTAGGTAATTGGATATTTTACTTTAAAGTCTCAAGTTTGTCATGACATATATAACATAATACCAAACCTAATATTTTTGCCTTTATGGGTCATTCATTGGAAAACAAAGTACTTAAAACTTAACTAAAACATCTCAATATCTAGATATTAGTAACACAATTTAATCTTCTTGATTACGTAATGGCCATAAGGCGATGCTGTGTAACTATGATGAGAGACGAGAAATTACTTTATGAAAAGGATCCATTACAAAACGAACCTGATGTCTGTGAAAGTATAAACGTGAAAGGTTTTTTTTTTGCATATAGCGTATTCCGATCATGATTGCTTGAATTTAAACATTTATTTGGAGATTGCGGCATTATTTCGAGTTTTTTCCGCATTTATTATGTTAATACTTTGGCTACTGATGGTGGTTGTAGTTGTTTACAAATTACAAGGCATGCTAATTGGCCAATTTAGACGTTTGAGTTGATTAGGTATTTTTTACATTTTTTTATGGTCACCATAAAATAAGCAAGCAAAGAACCTACATTGCAGTTCGCTTTTAATTTAGTAATAAAATATAACGAAACGTGTAATAATCCGTTACAAGGTCGAAGAATGAAGAATATCAGTAAAAAGCGTTTTAATTCTATTAAGTAATCTTCATTAAGATATTTGCTCATAAAACGCTCATTATATGTTTTCTTTAAAATATATGTTCTTACTATACAAGATAATCTATAATAAAGCAACAAACTGTTTGTTCTTCTTCGAGGCTTTTTTTATGCAAGCAAGGGCGGTTTGAAGGGGGGGGGGGTAGAGGGGGTAACTACCCCCACCCCCAGACAAAGATTTTATTTAATACATATTTATCAATTTCAACAAAAGACAAGTTCTACAAAATGAACCATTAAAGGCATCATATGAATATGGTAGGCTCGCAGTCGCCAGTACCGACGTACCACTACTGTACAGTGAGATAAAGGATATTCTAATTGTCTAATTCTATTTGGAAAAAAATGAGCTATGGTTGTTTGAATTGTCTGGTTTCGTGTACAGTATTGCAAACACCCTGTAGAATGTTATCAGATTTTCATAGGACCATGAAGTAAATGTAAGTATGCACTAACAATCTGCAAAAGATTTAGCTTACAGGATCTCCAATGAATGAAATTTCTTGACATATGCAAACTGCGACTTTTTTGAAAAATATTAAATATTTTTGAAAAACGGTTGAGTTTTGGTACCTATGGGTAATTCCTAACAAAAAGTATGAAGGATTTTTAGAACGATTCATTGATGTACTATTAAAATATAGGGTGTTCCATTTAAAATAACAAAGTTCTGTCGCATACCCCATTTACGGAACACCCTGTATATTCAAAAATATTTTAAACTAATGCACCTTAGATTATCAAACAACTTTGTGATTTAATTTATTTTTTCTTGCATCACC